TAACTATACTATTGGAAATTGTTAATCAGGTCATTGTAATAGCCATTACAGGTGAGGTGAGGTGAAATTGGGTTTTACGTCGTGCTTGAGAATATTTCGCTCATATGACGACGTGCATGCGTGTGTATGTGTATGTGCGGCTGCTTGTACTAGCTCAGACTTAAGCTGGTTTTATAGTGCTAGCCCAGACTGAATCTGGTTTTATAGTGCTAGCCCACTGAGATACCATGCCGCAGTGAAACATAAATACCCCACCCAGACACATTATACTGACTCCCGAGACGGCGAGTCCTTGTATTACCCATTAATGCCGAGCGCCAGGCAGGGACCAACAAGTACCATATTTTAACGTCTTTTGGTATGACGCGGTTGGGGATCGAACCTGCGACCTTCCGCTCTCCGGGCGGACGCTCTAACCACTACACCACGGAGGTGGTCAATAGCCATTACAGACGTTACTGATATGCTTAAATGTCTAACTACAGAGTCGTGCAAACAGTATTCCGACACTTGACGTAATTTCCATAGACTTACATGTTAAGTTAGTGTAGTGCATAAATAATTTTCATGAATTTAATTTAGGTAAGATCCAAGTCAAATTCTCAACATTTGTGAGGAATCATCTTACCTACAATCACATAATTTCTGTTTTATTTTCCGTTGCTTATTTACCAAACGGCAACAATTTAATCAACATATGTACAGTGCCGTACATGGCGACCTATGGGATTGTGCATTGTGGAACCGTACGTAAGCTGATAAGTGCGATGTCATTAGTTGGTCGGAAGTGGTCGGAAGATTTTACTGAAATTATTAGTCTGTCTCACAGTCCCTGAACCACATTAATTTCCCTACTGCCAAGCCCTCTCTCCAGTGCTGAAGCCCTAAATAAAGTAAGTCTAGATTTCCTCAGGTTCTAGAATCTCTGGTCTCCCTAGGGCTCCTTTTCAATATAAATGGGCTTGTTTGTTACTATCAAAATTATATATATTCAGAGACTAAGCCTTAGTCTATGAAATTATGTGCGCAGAGCAGAGCTGATTTCAAATTTGCCTCATACCGGGGACACCAGAAATGGGCTTCACACATTGTGCCCACATTGTGGAGAACCGAACCCGGTCTTCAGCGTGACGAGCGAACGCTTTACCCACTATGCTACCCCACCGCCCAGGTTGAATCCGAATGGGGGGAATGCCACAACATATCTGTGCCCAGTACCAGGAGACTTGCTAGAGTCTTTGGAATATACATTGTATCCAAAAGGATATTTTTACATATTGCTGACGGGGTAGAATAGGTCTTCAGCAACCCATGTCTTTAAAAGGCGACTTTGTCGTAAATATAACGGGATCGGGTGGTCAGTCGCTGACTTGGTTGAACATGTCATCGGTTCCCATATTGCTCATGCTGTTGATCACTGGATTGTCTGGTCCAGACTCGATTATTTACAGACATATAGAGCTGGAATATTGCTGAGTGCGGCGTAAAACTCAACTCACTCACTCACATATTGCTGAAGAACATTCGAGATATATTTTGAAAAATTCACATTTTAGATTGTTGCATACCAAATGCAAAGTCTGCACTGAAAACTGTCTTCAATAAACTGACATTTAAAAAATAATCCGAAGCGATAATTTACTTCATGGGTGAGTGATTTGGGGATTTAAGTCCATCGGCAGTGTTTCAGCCATAATGTGACCATAAAAAGGTTTTTCTCTTACATCACTGAGAAAGAACGAAGGAGTGTCTTAATTTCACTTTTCACATGCCCGTGAAGATCCGGGTTTGAACCGGTCATCAGTAACTCATGATTGGCGTAAGAGGCGACTAACGGGATCGGGTGGTCAGGCTCGCTAACTTGGCTGACACATGTCATCGCATCCCAATTGCGCAGATCGATGCTCATGCTGGTGAACACTGGATTTTCTGGTCCAGACTCGATTGTTTACAGACTGCAGCCATATAGCTGGAATATTGCTAAGTGTGGCGTTAAATAACAAACAAAACAATAAAACAACTTTTTACGCTTCTGGGGTTCGTTTAAGGTAAATAATTCAGCGCTGACGAGCACCAACATTAAATACAACCAACGGCGCCTGTTTTGAAATGACATCGGTTGGTTGCACATGCAGCTCGAGATGTCGTGTGTACGATACATAATGCACGAAGTTCACGAACCACTCGGAGATGCGCGATGAGAGTGGGATAGTCTGTGTCGATAGGTTTCAACTATGAAAACGGAAATGTTCGCGTAATACACGGTAAGAACAAAACTATTTAGGGCACAAGAACTATTTATATCCAGCAAGACAGCTCTCCTCAGCAACGTGCAAGCCCGGAGTCATGAAGTACAAGTTCCTGTGTTGAATGCGTCGACACTGTTTATTGATTAAGGTGGGCGTGGTGTGTCAGCTGTTGTAAAGTCCCGTTATGTCACCACTCAGCCTTAGCAGATCGGAAAACAGGCCACGTGGAACCCTTGCTATTCTTTCCATATTTTACGCCGCTTTTAGCAATATTCCAACAATGTCACGGCGGGGGGACACCAGAAGTGTGCTTCACACATTGTACCCATGTGGGGATTCGAACACGGGTCTTCGGCGTGACGAGCGAACGCTTTAACCTCAAGGCTACCCCATCGCCTCATGTGTTAGTCTCACTGTTGACATACAATTTAATTTCAAACGTTTGTTCACATAAATATTTACTTTCATTACCACACGCTCTTTTCTGAGTGAGATTGGCTGTACACTGCGTTTAATAACATCCCAGTAATATCACACATGGACACAGTCCTCTTCAAACTTATTTTTCATTTGAGATTCGAACACAGTCTTCGGCCTGACACGTATTGATTTAACCGCGAGGCTTCAACTTACAGACACAACGCTAATCTGAATATCAAGTATATTACGTTTTCCCTCTTTTGTTCACCACAAAGTCCATGTATATAAAACTATACACTGGTTTAGTGCGTGTTAAGTAATTATCTGGACTACTGAGCTAAGGCATAAATATATATAAGGTTTGATGTTTCTGTGCAGCGTTCATCGACAGCCAGGCAGTTTACACTCTATGACATACTGGCGAACAAGGCCAATAACAATCCTTGACTGATATGTTGGAAAATTGCTAGAAGATTACTGGAGCAGAGAGATAAAATAATTATCAGAAAGTATTTAGGTGCAATATTCATGGCCTAGGCGGCATATAAAAACAAATTAGACCTCATTGGCACATTATAGCGACATTTAAACCGACCTTGATGTATACTACACACAGTGCACTTGTTACAACACGTCTGTCATAGTATATACACACTATACACCCTCAACCCTTATACAACACGTCTGTCACAGTACATGTATATACACACTACACACCGTGCACCCTCAACCCTTATACAACACGTCTGTCATAGTATATACACACTATACACCCTCAACCCTTATACAACACGTCTGTCATAGTATATACACACTACACACCGTGCACCCTCAACCCTTATACAACACGTCTGTCATAGTATATACACACTACACACCGTGCACCCTCAACCCTTATACAACACGTCTGTCATAGTATATACACACTACACACCGTGCACCCTCAACCCTTATACAACACGTCTGTCATAGTATATACACACTACACACCGTGCACCCTCACACCACTACACCGTGCACCCTCAACCCTTATACAACACGCCTGTCATAGTATATACACACTACACACCGTGCACCCTCAACCCTTATACAACACGTCTGTCATAGTATATACACACTACACACCGTGCACCCTCAACCCTTATACAACACGTCTGTCATAGTATATACACACTATACACCGTGCACCCTCAACCCTTATACAACACGTCTGTCATAGTATATACACACTACACACCGTGCACCCTCAACCCTAATACAACACGTCTGTCATAGTATATACACACTACACACCGTGCACCCTCAACCCTCATACAACACGTCTGTCACAGTATATACACACTACACACCCTGCACCCTCAACCCTTATACAACACGTTTGTCACAGTATATACACACTACACACCCTCAACCCTTGTTATAACACGCATGCCATAGTTTATACACTAACCACGCCCATGACATTTATAGCGCTAGATAAAAACCACCAAATATACACTACACACAGTGCAGTACTCTCCCTAGACTAAGGCTTAGTCTCTGAATATATATAATTTTGATAGTAACAAACAAGCCCATTTATATTGAAAAGGAGCCCTAGGGAGACCAGAGATTCAGAACCTGAGGAAATCTAGACTTGCTTTATTTAGGGCTTTAGCACAGCAGAGAGGGCTTGGCAGTAGGGGAAATAATTTGGTTCAGGGACTGTGAGACAGACTATACTCTCCCTCAAACCCAACCTAGGATCAATATACGATATACACCATGAATCGGTTTCTGTTTCAAGAGTGTTTCAGAATTCTGTGTGGAGAAAATAATCGTGTTTGGTTTAAACTTTTTGAAAAACGTGTTACGGTAAAATTGGCTATATTTTTTCAGCAGTTCACCTTCAAATCTCACATTTTTATACCCAGGAAATAGTCGTTCGGTTTCAGTATATGAGACATGCTGTCAGACAATACTGACGTGATTTTCAGATTTGTGATTTAACTAGCGTTTGTTAGTCAGGGGCCAGCAAATAAAACTCGCGATAAAATCTTGATGGAGAACGGGATGGGGACATTGGATAGATCGGTAGCCTCTCATAATGCTTACGAACAACATGCACTAAAACAAATAACTGTGGAGTCAGCTGATTCAAGGGGCGATTTTGGAAATGAAGTATTAACTCGATGGCGAGTTTGAACTGGTGTTACGTGTCGGTTCAATCGTCTCGTCTTTCGCACATAAGTCGATGAGATTCAGCCTTGTGTTTCTAAGACATGTAAGCAACAAGTAATGACACTAATGAATATCTTTTTAAAGAACCCGCTGAAATGCTAGATGACTTACCTGAGAAGATAAATCCACTGCTAGGATAACTCGAGAGTGCGACTGTGCTTAAAGTTGTGTTGGATGCTGACAACACACACCTATCGCTGTCACATGTGTGATGTCACTCCCAAACACTCACCCATGCAACGAGTCCTATGACTGGCTTTGCAACCAACGCTCGTTGGAAACCGGGTCACGATTGGCTGGTGCGCTTCGCCATGCACATGGAGCTGTCACGTGATGCGTATTGTTGTCAATCACGAAGTTTGCACGTGGTGAGCGCTTCGATGCGTGTCGTGAGTATGTGCAGGTTTGTGGCGGTGAAGGTGTTTCGAAGGGTGGTGGGGCCTGCTGTGTTTAATCTTGGTACGTTTAATGTCACCTACCCTGATCGCCAACGCTATTATGCTTTTCTAAATAAAGCATGGGTGATTTTGTTCGGTGACCTGTGGGTTGTCTGAGAGAAAGGGATAGTAAAATGCTTAATGTATTTCTGGTTGGTGTGCCACTGCGTACTGTGCTGTTGTGGTTTGTGGCTGATGTTGCTGAAGACCCATATGTTCACGTTTTTTTTGTAAGATTGGAATAATATCTTAGCAGCAGCAGAATGTAAACAACAAACAAACGAATACCTAGGAATCGTTTCACGATCTTGCAGCCTCTGCCCCTCAAGGGACACAATTGTTTTGAAGTGTTTAGAGGATCATGGGCATTGTTTTTATTGCTTTAATCAAAATATCGCTCATTCCTGGTTTTTAAATCGTATTATCCAGATCGGGTCGTGACATGCCAGTAGTATTTAGAAAGGTTTCATGCTTCACACAAACCGTACAGTTTAGATTTAAGGTCAAGGCTTCATATGCATGTGCATGTAAACGGTTCACCACCCCCAAACTCACCTCAGCTCGAGTGGTGACGATTGGATAATCACTTGAAACTACCATTCGTGACCAACTCGTGTTATTCCGGGACAAGCCGAATATCATCTTGGTGGTTACGGAAAGGGGCGAGTGGTGACGAATGTTGAAACTACCAATATGAACTTCCTGACCCCGACAAAAACTACGCGGTCACTGACCCGGCAGCATACGCGCTTAGCAGTAGAAGAAGCCAGTGTGAATACGACTCAAAGTACACAGCAGGGGAGGGCTGGGAGCAGGTCGGGCATTAACTGTTATTTCACTCAGCGTGAAAACTAAAGTCCTCTGAGAGCTGCGGGGCAATTGCTAACATAAATAGTGTGCAAAGCGGTTCAACGGTAACCAAAGTATGTTGGTAGTGCTGAGTATCATCGCCTCTAGGCCATCACTGGATTAACGCTTAGTCTCTGATAATATATAATTTTGATAGAAACAATTCACGACATCTCAGTTGAAATGGGGCCCAAGTGAGGTGGGTGACTCAGGAACATCCAGACTTGCTTCATTTAGACCGTTGCATATTAGAAATCGTATTATATTATCGTATTTCCCCCCTCGGCTGGGCAGAAGGGGAAAATAATATGATTCAGGGACTATCATAGGCGGATCCAGAAATTTTCAAAGGGGAGGGGGGGATTTAGGGGGTTCGAACCCCTGAACCCCACCTTGGCTCTGCCATTGCAAAACATTAACCTCAATGTTGGTCTAGAAGCCAGACCCCCCAAATGGTGAAAATGTGGTGCAGTTCTGGCGACCAAACGGGATGTGATTTTTCACAACCAGGAATGATTTAGCTTTGATTTAAAGCGGGTTGTCATCAGCTACCGTGCGTGACTACCGTACAGGGGCCCTTTTAAGGTGCAACATGTCATGTCAGTTTTGGCAATATTTTAACCGATAACTGGGTGGTTTTATTTAATAACTTTGGTTTGGAGTGACCGATTGTCATCAAAATAGTAGTTGGGAATGCTCAGATCATGATTTAAAATTGTGGACAATAATATTACATATATGCTCATCGCAAAAAATATTTTGGTAAGGTCAAAGGTCAATTTTAATAGAAAGGGCATTTGATGAGAAAATATGAGTTGAACTTTACTAATCAAAGGTAATTGTTTCCAAAATTATGTTTTTCTAATTCCGCTATATCATTTGAAGATCATATATACCTTTGGTATGCACTGTGGGCATAAAAAAACCATTACAAGGAAACAAATGTTGGTACTTTGTATTGAGATCAGCAAAATATTCTTTAATGTCTATTCAACAGTAACAGCTCCATGCTTTACATAGTCAACGATACCAAATATGTCGATGATACTGTCGGACTATCTCTAAAATCACACAACATAACAGAAAGCTCTTAAATGTAAAATTCTATTATTCCAGGTGTCTTTCTTTGCTCATCAAAGAATGATGAGTCAGCCATGTCATCATAACACAAGCAACATTTCCTTCATATCAATTCGTGTCTATTGCTCCTAATAGTCATAGTGTATTCCTAGTTGACATGTTAGTCAATGTCAACAATGTCAAGATCACGGGAACATGTTTCAAGTCCACATCCACATGCCGAAGTACACAACAGGTTCAACCTCTTTGACACCTTCCTGTGCATTGACTTTTACATGCACAGTTATGAAGTTGAAGAAGGTCCACGGAAACCATTTAGTCATAACTTATTTGCAACTTTATCAATTTTACAAAGTTAAGGTAATTTTACCAAAATTATGTTTTAATAATTCAGCTATATCATTTGAAGATCATACATATCTTTGGTTGGCACTGCATGCATGAAACACAACAACTCAACTGATGTCAGATTATGTTTTGATAAGTGTCAATATTGTTTATATATGTGTCACTTCACGCTCCAGCTGCACTGACATGCTGTGAAACCCTTAAAGTTGATGGATAATAATATGACATCCTAATGAAAGGTTTACAAGTGACATTATGGTGTTCCATTTTTTCTGTTTACAATGTGAAATATTACGACTTGGTTTTATTTATTTATTTTACACCGGCAAAAGTTATGACACACTGATCAGAAAGGCGTTATGGTATCTTACCACCAAATATACACACCGTCATATACCTCTGAAATACACAGTATTTCCAATACATTCCTTTTGATTGTAATATAGGTGATGTAATTTCCGACTCTTTTCTAAGTTTACTTGGGTTCGAAATATGAATATTTCCTTAGGTGGGAAAACATTTGTAAATTTGCAAGTTTTCAAATGTTTTCATGGCTTAACACCTTGTGCATCATTCCGGATATCAAGGGTATGTATTTGAACACTTTTTATATGCTCATGTTACCAGTACTAAAACAAAATGGTCACAGAAAATCTGGGTTCACATTGTGTTATTCACATTGTGTTATTCACATTGAGGTTTGATAGTTGTTTAGGCTATGCAATATGTTTTTACTCTCTCCTGGTTTATTGGGAGTTGACTGACAACAACATTACAGTTTGCAACATGTTTCGCATCCATGCATTATACAATGCAGTTCTTGATTCATGATTCATGCATTCAATCAAAAACAAAACATCTGTAAAAATACTTGTGATCGGAATCTGCTTAAAACTGCATTACTCACAGGTACTTTCACACGGTGTTGTTTTACTTTTCAAAGTTCTTTTAGGTAGCTTGTTTTCAAATGTATTGATTTAGTATTTGAAGCAACGCTGCAGGTTATCTGGATGTCTGGACGTATCAACGCATTAACGCCTTGAACATATACCTCCCGTCTTTCCTCTATTTCCACTACCCCATGGATAAAAGAGATCGCACAAGCAATCGTACATACAATGTACTTGGATTAACCTTTCCATATTCCATAAAATATCAAGCAAAATATTCATTATCATAAATACACAACGTTTCTCGGCTACTAAGAAGCAGCCTACAAACGTTGTGTTGTAAATAATAAAGAAGTTGTAAATCCATAAGATACGTTGTTATGTTATCTTCCAACTTCTAAATGCCCATAAAGCATCTACATGTTGATCAGTTTACAGTGCAAACATAATAAAAATTTACCCATGAATAAATATAGTGATTAGGATGTAGTTGTGTGGCATTTCACCAATCAGAACACACACACACACACGCACGCACGCACGCACGCACGCACACACACACACACACACACACACACACACACTGACGTAACCGGGAGCTTATGGTACAAACAAAACGTAGGTCTCTTCATTCGCTACTCACTGTGTTAGTGAGAAAATAGTCAATTAATCCTGCTTAGGTGGATTTCATCTTGAATAGCCCCAGCCCATACAAATGCAACAAAGAAAATAATAAACAAACGCACGCACACAACCCAATGCCATAAAAAGGCAACACAGCGTGCAAGTTTAATGTTGGATCTAACAACAGTTGTTTAATGTGGGAGAAATTCAGAAACATAGATATGGCCTTGAAAATCCAATAAGCATATCCGGAGCATGTTTGGGTCCATAATCACAGGATCCTGGCACGTTATACCAAGCGGAAGCCTCTGAAAATAGGACATTTTGATAGCAATACATAACTCCGTATATACTGAATTAGCCCCGGAGATTCAGAACCAGTAGGGGTCTAGACTGGCTTCATTTTGGACTATTGCATTACAGAAGGGGTTGGGCCGAAAGTTTGGAGTATGAAACAGACTTCTGGCATGTGTAAGGTCCCAGCGATACAGAGCGAATGTGGTTCTTATAAGGAGGGAAACGCATTTAAAAACCTTTCGTATTTTGGAAACTAAATATATAGATCTGGGCAAGCAGAAGATGTCATTCATTTGAAACACACTCTGCTGATCACAGCTGGTGGCTTCATAATATCTGTTGTTGGAACAATGCAGCTGACTACAGCTGGCTTGGTAATGTTCATCTAGGTGAGGTCTGCCAATATGTTAGAGCTGACGTTGTACTGTCGACGTGCATCAGCTGATGAAGATAGTGATTCACGTGAGCCAATTCCATGATGCGATAACTATTGTCAGTTCATTCACTCTCTGCTTGAAGGACAACGTAGTAATGCGACATATGGAAATCGGGAAAGGAAAGACAGTTGGTCTTTTAGTATCCATCTAGACGAGGTCGCTCACTACTGTCAATATGTATAGACGATTCAAGGTTTTCCGCTCAAAATATAATTCTAAAGCGTCTGTCAACGTATAATACCAACTTCTGTGCGTGTACGTAATAGCTGATAGTAATTAAATTGACAC